TAATGTTTTTGTCTCGTCGCTCCGGCCGGGACACAGCATCACAGTATGGTAAGGGGCGTAACATTTCCGTCACACGCTTGAGGTATTCGGCCAATCACAACGCACTGGATAGCTGGCCAATCAGAGCACACCTCGCTTTTTCAGACCAATGAGCTTTGTAAAAATCGACGCATTTCAGAAAGGCGGGGCATAGAGGAGAAACAATAATGTACAGTATGTGGAAAATAATGTGGTTTTTTTAACCTTAAACCGCATAAACATTTCATTACACCAAATACACAAAATAATGTTATTTTTAGCAACATCATATGACCCCTTTAACTTTTTGTTATCTATGAAGTTACTGTCAAAAAAAACATCACTTTCATCACTTTTTTCATGTGAAAGTGAACATTTGTGCAAGTAAAATAAATGTATTTTGTTTTAGAAGATTCAGAGTAATATTTATGTTGTTTTGTTAGAAATAAATATGTAGGTTTCATAAATTTGAACTGTTTTTGAGCAATCATGAGTTATAAAGACAAAGGAATTGAATTAAATTTAATTAATTCCAATGGGGTTAATACTGGTAATTCTCAGATTATATGTTCTTGAAAAATTCATACAATTAACTATTCAGAGATAAGATAAGATAAGATAAGATAAGATTTAAAAATATTAAATTATGACAGTTTTATAAAGCACAGATTCTTTGGGTCCAAACGGACCTGGGATGCAAAAATCGTATACAGATTTTGAATGCACTATGAGGGTTAACGTAACTCTATGGGATTACGTTTTCACTCAGGTGAAAACGTTAAATCCAAGTGAACAAGCCGCCCAGTTTGAGGTATCATTAGCGCCCATTGCTCAAGCAGTTGGGTTATGTATGGGTTATGATGTAAATTTGAAGACTTATAGGGATTTGTTTTAATTAGAATTGATAAACCCTGTAATGTTTTTTGTTTTTTTCCTGAAAGTGAAAACTTACTTGCACGTGTTAGTGAATATCATAATAGACCAATCATCATGTTCATCCTGGAACTTTTGGATGAGATGGACCAGGTAAGCATCTTTGACTTTCTCAGGAGTGAGGATGAATCTCTGATCCAGTTCTTCGACCGTCTGCACTCTGACAGAAAGAGAGAGAGCCATGTGACAGAAAAATTAGGCCTTTGTGGAAACAAGCTTTAATGTCTATGATAAGCCTTTTAAAATATTATATATTTATACACACACTACCATTCAAAGGTTTGAGGTCAGTAAGATTTTTAAAGTTTTTTTTTTTTTTTTTTTTTAAATACTAATACTTTTATCCAGCAAAGACGCATTTATTTGATCAAAAGTAACAGTAAAAACGAAATATTTATATTTATAATAAATGTTTTTTTTTAAAGTCTCTATTCATCAGAGACTTCTGAATAAACGTATCACAGTTTCCATAAAAATGGAACATCGATGTCTCCAATTGCACATTTAGTTGAATATCTGTCAACTATAAATGTGCAATGCATTATGTCAGTGTGCAATAGGAAGAAATCTAGTTTTGTACTAGTGATGTGTGCTACTACTAATTTCATTAACATTTAAATAGAAATTTTGTAGCCCACTAGTCGGCTAGTTTAACAAATCCCCAGAAGACACTCATCTGTATGCGATCCATTTGAAATAGCTTTTGCCTATTTAGATCAAGTTTATATAATTAAAGCAAGCTTACTTGTTATATACCAGTTTTATATTTCTGGCCCAAAAATCACATTTTCTGTCAAGGAAGCAAAATTCTGCACTTTAAATTTCAACACATTCTTTTTTATTTATTTATTTATAAAGCACTACTAAAAAACCAGGGGTAACCACAGTGCTTTACAATAAAGACAAAGAAATTTTTTCATTTTTTCAAGTCAGACAATCACATATACTGTACTGATACTGATCAACTGTCATAGGCTGCCACCATCAAATGAGATTTCAGCAGATTCTTAAAGGTGGGGTAAGCGATTTTTCAAAAATGCTTTAGAAAACTGATTCGGGCCGACTAGCAAAACAAACTTGTAGCCAATCAGCAGTAAGGGGCGTGTCTACTCATGATGCAGAGGAGAGAGCGTTCAGTGCACAGGACGGACATTAGCTCAGACCTCGCGTTCGCGGGACAGCACTGGCGAAATCTTCCAACTGAACCATAGCTAATGTTTATCCAAAAAAGTCGCTAGGTTTGTCAGTATGAATATTCTATGGAAAAAAGCCGCTAAAAGGGTCTGAAAGTTGCTAAATCTAGTGCTAAAATCAAGCTCGTGTGTGTGTGTGAGACGCGCGAGCTGATGGCAGGGGGCGGTGGATATTTGTGGCGGTCAATGTGGATATTGTGGATGAGTTCTTCTGTGTCATCACGTTCTATTAGTTCTACATCTTCAGTTTCGGAACTTTCACGCTTAGTAACACATACAGCTGTTCCCTCACGACAGTGCAACAGTGAAAAGGGACCCCTTTCAAACAGTGTCGTGTTCCGAACGTTGTTTAAGCGACATAATTGCTGATTAAAATTGCGGTATTTTAAAAATTCATATCATAACAAAAATAAACGAATAAATAAAGGCGAGACCCTTTTGGGGTAGGGCGTGTTTGTTTTGGTGATTTCAAATGTCAACATTGGCTACCAGAAATCGCTTACCCCACCTTTAAACATTGACAAAGATTTAGCAGACCTAATATGTAGAGGCAACTCATTCCACAGTCTCGGCCCCATTACGCCAAAAGCTTGATCGCCTTTCTGATGACGGTTTGTCCTAGGCACTACCAGAAGTTTATAATTTTCTGAGCGCAAGGCTCTAGGGGGATTATGCAGTTTCAGGTTTGTAATTCTCCTGACAAACGTGACTTACTCTGATTTGTGTTCCCAGAAGAAGGGTCTGTTCGTGGCGATGCTCTGCAGCTGCTGCAGCGTGTCCGTGAGCGTGGCGCTGAACAGCAGCGTCTGGCGTTTTGCAGGCACAGCACTGAGAATGACCTCTAGATCTTTAGTGAAATCTGTGCAGCCCTGCTCTAAGAGTCGGTCAGCTTCATCCAGGATCTGCCGAGAAACACACGACAATTCCATTAAAACTGGTTAAAAACACACGTTAAAAAAGGCATATGTCAGAATCTTACTAGAAATTGGATTCTGTTCAGGCTAATTGTGTCAGAGCTTCGGATATGATCAGCAAGTCGTCCCGGTGTGGCCACAACAACATGTGGCTTTTTCGACAACTCCAAGCCCTGAGTGACCATGTCTAATGGAAGAAACAATACAAAAAATAAAGTGTCTCTCCTAATAAATATGCATTCTATAAATTACAGTTTTCCATAAACATTTACCACTATTTTTGCTTTTATAAATAAATGAGCCCTAAACACTTGAACCAAGTAAAGCTTTGAAAGTTATCATACCCATTCCTCCCACAATGATACAGTCCTTTAAGCCCAGTGGCTTCCCTAATGCTCGGAACTGCTCTGCGATCTGGAAAGCAAGCTCCCTGATCAGAAAACAGACAAAAACTTCATTTGTTTGAAACATCTACATGCAAATGAAGATTCAAATGTAGCTGAATAAATCATCACATAAAGTAAAAAAATAAACCTTGTGGGTGTTAACACCAAGCAGAAAACACCATAAGGGTCCTCAGACAACTTCTGCAGCACTGGAAGAACAAATGCTGCCGTTTTACCGCTTCCCGTTTTTGCACAACCCATGCAATCCCGACCTGTGTGAAAGACGGGGGGAAAACATTTTGTTCTGATGAAAGACGACAGCATAATCATACTTTATTATTAAAATTTAATTTCATCAGTCACAAATGTAGTTTTAACCTTAAAGGGCCTAAAAAGAGAATTGCTGAAGCATTTTGCACAGAGTGAACTATAAATAAAAGTGAAGTTTTTATATGTGTAGAGGTCTATAAAATCCATCATAATATAGATGCATCTGGTACACACACACACACACACACACATATACATACATACACACACACACATATACCTATATATATACACACACACACACACACATACATACATACATACATATATATATAGAGAGAGATATATACACACACACATACATACATACATACATATATATAGAGAGAGAGAGGCACAATAGCCTCATTCTGAATAAATAACTCATCATTGATTTTAAAAAAAGCCAAACAGCGTCGCACAAATATAATAATGCCATAGATAATTACAATTAATACTATTAAATCAATAATAAATACTTTTTACTTTTTTAGAAGACATGCAGTTTGTTTTATTATGCCATGCTATCCAGTGAGTGAAATACATGTACTCACGCATCCGGAGTTCTATCTATTCGATCTATGTAAAGCCTATTTATGTGATCTTTAACTGTATTCGTTTTACTGTTAATATGTAAAGCAGATACAGATCTTTACCCTCTAATATGGCAGGGATGCATTTCTCCTGAACTGGGGTCGGTCGGCTGATTCCCATCTGCTTACACTGCTGGATCAACCACTCACACAGCCCGAGAGACTCAAAAGTGGCCATTTGCCACCAGGTTATTTAAAAGCGAAATATCCCAAACATAAATGAGTGGTTTAGCGTTGTTTTGAGCGCCGTTAAATGCCCTTTAAAAAATTGATCCTCGTGCGAATCTGTGACGGCCGCGTGAATTAGACGTCATGTGATGACGCGCGGAAAAGAGAAAGGCCACGCCCACTGACCGATCCGTGACCACGCCCCTTACGGTCAAGAAGAGCTGCGCGTTTTGGTTTTGACAGCGAAATTAGCGACTGAGGTTATGTATGATAATGCAGCTAACCCGTCAGGCTACCTCATTCCCCCAAACAAAAACGTCTTTAGATGAATACATGTGCTTTATTCTGATTTGCTGTCATTTGTGGGCAGACGTAATGCGAAGGAGCCCGTGAGTGGTGTGCTCGTGAGCGCGCGGCAGCAAGCGCGGGGTCGCGCAGAGGTTTTTTTTTGTAAATGCTTTGTCTTGTATTTCATATTTTATTAAGATTGAGCATGGTTAGCGGTAATTTGGGCTACTACACATGATGACCGTCCTCATCCTCATCCTTGCTGAGCATGGCGGAGTTAGATGGTGTGGAGTTCTGTGCGAATCGAGCTCAAAGCAGGTAGGCATGCAAGTAGCATCAGATGTTGCATGCGGTGCGTTTAATGCATACAAAAGGAGAGGTTGTCCCAAAATGCAACAGGGTTAAGTACTAATATTAGAAAAGGTTTTATTCTGCTCTTTCTTTATGCTATTATTATTAAAGGTGCACTCAGCAATGATTTGTTTTATACATAAAGAAATGAAAAGCACTTTATGTAGCCGTAATTCATACTTTACATCATAATATTGTGATGTCAAAAATTCACATGCAGCATTTAAGATGATTGATATTCGTTACAGCCCAAACCCTCTTTTGGTGTTAAACTGCTGCCAGGATTTACTAAAGACACGCAATAAAAAATTAGCAATGAAAAGGTGTGGACACAGTCATTTTTTGCGGCTGATCTCATTGCACATGCATTTGTAGAAGTTTCCCTTTTAGACCCAAAATTTACGGGGGGAGAGTATTTAAGTAAATCATGCAATGTTTACGGTAGTCCGTTTACTAGCATTTGCACCATCATTGCATCCAGAAAAGCATGTCTTAACACATTTTGATCACCCGCAGAATTTTCCACTCCCATCACCACTTTTATGGGATTACAGTCTCTAATTTGCCCTGTTAAGTAAATCTGGCCCTTAATATTTTATTTTTTATTTATTTTGACAAAATGATATATAACTATTATATTGTTATCGGTCATAATATGGTAACATATAGGCTGTAGCATAGTCTGCAGTGCTACAGGTCGAGGATAAATACTGCAACATCTAGCACAGAGCACGAGCATACTACAGTCATAGCCACTGCACTGTGAAATGCCACTGTTATTAAAAGAGCCAGCTAAATGTACACAGAATCATACCTAATGCACCATTAAAGTGCCCCTATTATGCTACTTTTAAGGTTCCTGATATTGTTTTGGGAGGCTCCTACAACAGGTTTACATGCATGCAAGTTCAAAAACCCTTTCGTTTTCTCATAAAATACATTCTAAGCAGTTCTAAGATTCAGTCTCTCTAAACCCCTCCTTTCAGTGAGCCTACTCTGCTCTGATTGGTCAGATGGCCCAGTCCTTTGTTATTGGTCTACTGTGCACAGCGCGTGTTGGAAACGAAATGCCTATTGCCATAACTGAATGACAGCTCCAGAGAGAATGTATAGAGAGAAAAGATGGTATCGAGCATAGTCCGATGATGAAACATCTGAAGTAGCTGATCAATCAGACACTGATTCGCAAGCACGACTGGAGCAGGATGTTTCTTACCCCGTGACGTCTAGACGTCATGAAATTACTGACGACTCATTTAGGCTGTTCAGAGTCGATTCTTTCTTTTGGGAGACTATAACTTTATTTATCATGCACTTTTGGCTTTTCAACTTTGCAGATTGTTTACATTCACATACAGCTGTATTACGCACTGTATGAAAGACAATATTCGAAATGGCATAATAGGGGCACTTTAACATGTCAGTAGGGATGTAACGATTCACTCAACTCACGATTCGATTCACGATACTGATTTCACGATTCGATTTTCTTACGATTTTGTTTTTTAAACAAAATTTGATTTAAGACAAATTATAAATGAAAAGGTGTCCTTTTATTATTGCTTGGACCGAATGCTGCACAGTTCTTTGTGAAACAGAATTATGTCAAATAACAAAACTAAATTAAAATTTTAAAACAAACCCCAAATCTAATAAAATAAGACAAAAAAGATGCTGAAAACATGCAGCATGAGCAGGTTTTTTTTTTTTTTTTTTACATCTAAATTAGATTGTATAATTTGAAATTTTAAAACAAAAACAGAATGCTCTGACTTTAGTTTTGTGAAACTATACTACATAAAACATCTGCACGAAACAAAGACAGCAGAAGCTCTGAATGAGACGCAAATTCACTCTCTGACAGCAGGTAGCGCTTATGAAACAGCAGCGATACAGCATTTCCTTGGTTACTGCTGTAAACAAAGCAGCGCTTATGAACGCTGCTTTAATATGCATACAGAGACGAGATGAAAAGAACATATCATCTAAACTTTTCTGAAGACAGTCAGTTTCCCTCAGAGATACATTGATATAAACTCCCACACCCCAAATGTATCGCGATTCGTTTAACATCTCAACCGATTTGAATTTGTATCGATTTTCAACCGGCTCGCAGTGAATCGTTACATCCCTACATGTCAGTGCAGGGCTCAACACTTACTTTTTTCCCAAGGAGCACATGTGCGCCTAAATTGAAAATTGTAGGTGTGCATAAAAAGCGTTAGAGGTGCAATGAGAATTGATTAAATAATTACACTGTTTGTGAAATGGACCTTTTTCACATTTCCGGGTTTCTCAGCAGCGGAAGTCGTCATAGTGTTGTGGAGCAAACAATGGTCTTCTCAGAGTCGTTAAATAAAACTCAAGAAACAGAGTTCCAGATGCCAAAATAAGACTTTATTGATCACAGAAACAAAGCCGAGATGGAGTCTTCGTCTGTCCAGGCAGCCATACTTATACCTTGTTCTTATCAGCTCTCGTCAACGCCGAGCTTCAGGCCAATCCTGTTCGTGACGCCAATGTGTTGTGGAGCAAACAATGGTCTTCTCAAAGTCGTAAAATAAAACTCAAGAAACGGAGTTCCAGATGCCAAAATACGACTTTATTGAACAGCAACAAAGCCGAGATGACAGCCGCTGCATCGGAGTCTTTGTCTGTCCAGGCAGCCATACTTATACTTTGTTCTTATCAGTCTTTTTTAACCAAAAATTGACAACTCTGATTGGTCTTACCCCATTAGTTTTGCTACAATGAATTCATTCTTGTTTTGGTTTACTTTCTAATTGTAGATTCCCTCTAGTTTGAACCATTTTCCATTTCAACCTTGGTCTCATCCTCACTTCCTAGATGCAGGTGTCCTCATGGCCATTCATCATACTTGTTTGTGCCATCCTTGACATATTCTTGGAAGTCACCCAAAGTTCACTGGTTCACTCTAGTTCATTGGTGCTGCCCAATGGAAAGCACCATACTTTCCCAGTAGGGGGGCACCGAAGACTCACAGCCTATATTAAGACTTCTAATATTGAAATAATCATTAAAACAATCACCATATTGATTGTAATTATTACCATACATAATATTTTTGAGTAAAATTTCACAACAATAGTTGGGTTAACTTGAAGAGCAGTGAATGGGAGAGTACCACAAATATATTTTTTTGCATTCCCATTTGCTCAGATAGCAAAAGAAAAACTCCACGATAGTGTTTTCATGACTTTCAATCAAAGGAAAAAAATTGAGAGAGACTGATAACGGCTGTCAGAAGAGAGAACGTTGTCAAGTTTACCATCCCTCCCATAGATACTGCATTAGAAACACCCTCGCATTAGCGTTAACTCTTTTTTTTATAATTTGATGCAAAGGTGATATAATACAAAGAATAGTGTTATAAATGTACATACATTTAAAAAAAAATACAAATATGAAAAACTTTAGAGGATTTACGTTGCTGATGATCGTTAAACGCGTCATCACAGTCTTGTGAAAAGGGTCCATTATCGCGCTTAATGTAGGCTATGACATGGAGGCACCCGCGCAATCCCTTGCATTTTTTTCCCCCTGCGGAAATAACTTAAAATTTTTGGATGTGCTTTCTGCATGCAGTCTCCATGAATGGAGCGCGTCACAACAATGAACCGGCTCACGGACATGATAAATAAATCTAGGCTATAGAAAGCTTGAAATGTCTTCTATTAAACTAACCAATTCAAATAAAAAACAAATCTTCTGTAATTATGTAGTCCGTATGAAAATGTGCATTTCTCTATTAAAAGCACGTCCATTAGGCCTACTGTGGAGATGGCCAGCAGCGTCGGCATTCGGCAACTTCATCTTTGCATCCGACACTGACTGAGAAAGCACTACTTTAGTAATAAATAATTAAAATGTCTTCTTTTTCCCCGATGCATCATTACTTTTGCCGGTGCTTTGTGGTAAGCTTTATGGGCGCGCTTGAGTGCGGAATAGGCTATAATACGCCTAAATGCCTATTAAAGGATGGTTTAGTAGGTTATTATATTAATCAACTTAATATAAACGTGCGACTAGTTGCCTAGAAACATTTTTAGTCGGGGGCAGGCCTACTTGGCTCAAGGAACCGATCCTTTTTCAAAATAAAATGCTATGACATTACGAAATGTGCGACTGCAAATCACGTCACGATGTATTGCATTGCACGAGTTACGCATGTGTAATGAGTCAAATGTTTTTGATTTTATTTAATCTTTTTTATGTATGGGGGTGCTTTGGTCTTGCTTGGGGGTGCAGGAGCACCTGCTAGCCCCTCCCTAGCGCCGCCCATGTGTCCAGTTGACTTTC